TTTTTTTTTTTTTTTTTCTCCGGCAAGAATAATGGTGTGGCTTTTTAATGGACTTTTAGTTGGTTCCAAAAGGGGAGAAGAAAAGAAAAAATAGGTAATTGTTTATTTATAAAATTATTACATTTTAGATAAAATAATATAATAAAAGATATGTTAGTGTCGGAATATTAAAATATTTCTCTCTTCTAATAATCAAGGGAAATGGTAAGGTCTTGTTGAGAAGTTATCCGCTCAGAGTTTGTAACCGTTAAATTATCATGTAACTGTAAAAAAATAGTTCCATAACGGAACCGTAGCATCTTCTCATATTATATTTCTCTCTTAGATAAAGGATTTGACTTAGCTTAAATTAGTAGCAAGTAGTCCAATTGTCTTTTGAAATTACAAAATTGAGAAATTGGATCCATTTAACAAACTGACTTGGGAATTAAAACCGAGCAGTCAACAATGGCCTAACATGTTTGCAACTGATTAACTTTAAAAAAGGTGGCTATTTGACAAGAAATTACAAAATTTTTAATAGAATAATTTTATAAGATTACGAATAGTTTAATTAGGTCAGAGCCAGGTTTTACGTGAGACCATACCCGTTTTGTCGCTATTTATTTTATGGCATTAGAGTCGGTTCTATGTGGGACCATGCGATAACGTACCCGTCGGCAGTCATGTAGCTCAGTTAGGCTTGGATCTCATATGAAGGACTCCCAAGTGAGGGGGTGTGTTAGAATATTACTTATGAGTTGTCCAACATCGTTTATACAGAAAAAATAGACCTAACTTATAAGCCTAGTGGACTACTTTTCCTACAACCAATTGGTTTTGAAATAAAACTTCACTTGACTTTTATCATGGCTCACTCTATTATGATACGCTTCATATGCGTAGTACTGCACCCGTTTACGCCCGTCTTTTACAGTTGTAACCATTTTTAAATCACAAGCTACTTAAAAAGGTACAAATACATTATGCTGTCTGTAATAATTAATTAGTAGTCTAAACTCCATAGTAGCATTTGTTTATTCTTGAACAATATATTCTTCTTAGTTCTATTTTTACACCCATAACGCCAAGGAAGCCCATCTAATCCATGTCTTTTCATTTCGGGCCCGCCATGCTAAGGAAGCCCATCCCATGTAAACCCAAAATATCAGTTTCTATTTATGGCCCATAATGCGTAGGAACTAGGAAGCCCATATTATCTGTCAACCCAAAACTCGGTTTCTATTTCTTGGCATGAATTTTGAATTTTTAAAAAAGTTTGAAACGAAAAGATGAAATTTTGAATTTTGAGAGTTACTGCATAAAATATTAATGCATACTAATATTATTAAATGTTGTATTAATTAATGTGTATGTTATTTTTTAATATATGGTATTTTTTTTTTTTTTTAATAAAAAGCATACATATTCATAAGAAGAATATTTTATCCAAATTGATTATTTAAATAGTGAATTTATTTTGTTACAACGAAAAGAATATTTCAGTAATTCATTAGGCACAGCTGCTTTGTTACTATTTTTGGTTTTTGTTAGTACTTAACTGGTAGTTCTCTGAATAGAGTGATTTTAGTGATCACTAATAGAAAAATCGACCGACTCGCGATCGCTCAAGTCACATTTGACTCGAGTTTGAGCACTTTTAATTTGAGTTTCGGTCTGTGTTCACTCGCGCGAATAGGGTAAGCAAAATCGAGTTGAAATCGAAAAACAAGTCAAACCGTGCAATTCGATGTTGTTCGGTTTGGAATTTTTTCTACACAGCGGTGCGGTGCATTTGTAGCTTGTTGTAAGTTCGATTTTCATTTTTGTTCTATTCAGTGTGGTTTTACACTGAACCACAACAAATTGAATAAAACATACATAACAATCGAGATAAAATAAAAAACGAGCCGAATCGTGCACTTCAGTCTGCTCGATTCGGTTATTTTAGAGTAAAAAAATCCTGATTCAGCTTTGGTTCGTTTATTTTGTTTTATTTGCTACGTTCGGTTTTTCACTATTTTGGGTTCGATGCAGCTTTTTATCGAAATCGAACTGCACCGTTGCTCATGACCCCCTACACTCAAGTGCTTAACGAGTTGTTCTCATATACATAAAATTATTTAAATACTTATAAATAGTTTTTCATAGATGCAATTTCGAGTTGAACATGGCCAAATCCGAGTCAATCTCGAGCAGATATTTAAAACGCTCGGTTCATCAACCTCGAGCAACTGAATAAAAAATTCGAGCGCAACATAATATGCTTGACTTGTCTTGACTCGAGCCTTAAAATGCTCGCACGATTCATCGAGCTCGAGCAATTGTACGAAAAAAACTAGCCCAACATTATAAAGTAGATGCTTGACTTGTCTCAGACTAGTTTTCAACACTAAGCATGACTCTTCAAGATTTTTTAATATTGAAAGAGCCATTAATGAGCATTGATTCTTTTTATGGCAATTAATTGAAATTAAATTAAGGTCTACTGACAAAGTAGCCAGCTGCTTGGTTCTCAATTTTCCGGACTTTTGTCATTCTATTGTAATAAAACAGTACTACCTCATTTTTTAAATAAATGTCGTTTTGACTTTTTTAATTCATCCATTTTGCTATGTATCTAGACATTAATATGTCTGAATACATAGTAAAATGGATGAATCAAAAAAGTCAAAACGACATTTATTTAAAAAAGGAGGGAGTACTATTTAATTCATGCTAATTTTTTTTTTATTTTTTGTTATTATTCGTGTAGTTTTTGTAATACCAAATTAATAAATAAACAATATATGTTCTTATAATAATTTTTTAAAAATAAATAAAAATAAAAAATCATCCAACATGAATGTTCTTAGGCTTAGAAACATTAGCTTTAAAGTTCGAGCTGGCAAATTTCAAATCAATGTCCTCTTATAATTAATGAAGGCTTAGACCCTTTGTTATAACACATTATATGATTATAATAATTTATCACAAACATATACACCAAATATTTTACTCAATGTTGATACCCAATTTGGCTCCAATTAATTAAATGATAAACGAAATAATAAAATACGGCCCAATAACCGGGAAGCCGAAAATAGAAGATAAATAAATATACTAGCAGGTACACCAGATTGATCATCTAAAAGCCGACCGAGTCCCCAGATGGCGAGTATGTCTGTTTCCGAGCCGAACAGAATTCGAAGAAGCCGCCCTCGGTAGGCATCCCTATTGCTGACAAGACAAATGCCCGTCAAAATCGGCGAAAGTTATAAACGGACCCCCACGATGACTACTAGAGATAAAATAATGATGTATTATTATTGACCCACTTGCAAGATGATAAAGCATGTATATATATGTAAAAATATGAGAGAGAAGGGGTCTTCTTCTCCATTCCTCATTTTCCTCCTCAAGAACTCGAAAGAGAGGACACTCTCTCTCTAAAAATAACAAAGAAAAACACATATCTTTCATCATTTTGTTCTTCATTTTTCTACAAGACATTGGACATATAATCGACCGTTGATCGTCCGATTTTCGACATCAACACTCACTCTTTATGATATTTTCAATTTTTCATGTGATGTTTGAATAGAATCATTTGAGTGTCATCACATAAATAAAATAATCAGTAGTATTAAATTATATGCAAAACAAAGTTGTTGATACTCTAATTTTAAAGCATGAGGGCAATAATTTAGCTCAATGATTGTATATAGACTGTGAAGACAAAGAATCTGAGTTAAAGGTGAGGAGATTTTAAATGCCCAGATGAGATGGTAGGCTTTTTTTTTAGTCAGTCACGGTATTCGAAGCTTTGTCCCGACTAATCCGTTGGTCGACCTGGGTCGCACACCTGACAATGGTGGGTGAGTCTCCCAACAAGAATTTTTTGCATTCATAAAGACTTGAACTCGAGATCTTGTTTAAGCGACATCAAATTGTTTACCACTTGAGTCAATCTGTGTTGGTAATGAGATGGTAGGCTTTGAAAAGGAATCTAATAACCTCACAACCATACAAATTATACAAATCAAAATTTATGAAAGTTATTTTTTCTTTTTCTTTTTTTATGTGGATTTTT